TCGGTACTAACTCACGCTTTTGTTAATGTAAGAGGTCGTAGAGTTTTGGTCTCCTTATTTTGTATGCTTGCCTCTTCGAATGGCTTGACTTCAATTTTATCCATGGAGAGACCGGTTAGATTACGTTTTTCTGTGGTAGTTTTGAATCAATATTTGTAGGCATTTCGGACATAATATATTTGAGTGATAAAAATTACGTTTTCAAGTGACCAGTATTAACTTAATAACCATAACTCTGTATGATGTGATGGTGAAGTAGGTACAGCCGCTATACGAGTATTTTTAAAAATCGTTGACGTGATGCCGGATTGGCGAAGTTATACAGAGTGTCTAAGAATACTTCAAACTGTTCTATTATATGTTTTCAAGTCTCCGATAACTCTTGAAACATTTAAGTAACATGTTTAAACTGAAGAATATATTAATCATATTATAGAATTTTCTTATTATCTTACATTCCTGATTGCTTAATGGGCTAATAATAGGTAATAAAAATTTCAAAATCTATCTACGCATCTTTAAATGCAGTTTTTAAAGTGAATGATTTTATGTACGCGTCACCTTAAAATACATTTATATCAGTGCATGGGAAGCTTTTGCTGTTCGATAACCTTGAAAAGGCACGAATACACTTTGTTGTTTTTGTATCCAGCATTCCATCTTTGCAATATTGGCGGATGTGCCGTCTTTTGATGCGAAGCTCGTCCACCATTATTAATAATACCCAAATTCTTCCGTTTTCTCGTACATCTTTGACGATCCGAAGATTTCTTGAAAACCCTTGGATATCTGCTGATTTTCTTGGATTTTCTTGGCTTTCTTCGTATCTCCACTGGATAAAATCGTAAGATCTACATCAATCGTACAAGACAGAACAATTTCCTAAGGAGACGAATATTTCTATCGACTAAAAACCTGAATCTAAGCTTGAGGTACAGAATGGCAAGGTGCTACGTCTGCTCTATTCTTTTGGCATCGAGACTTCAATACAGTTGAAGCCTTCGAAATCTGGATCCTGTGGCAAAGTCTCCTGGGTTGATCATGTGAGACTTAGTGGAATACAAACTTTTCAGAATTATCAAAAAGAACAAATTAGTAACCATTGGCGCTCACAGGGGTGTGTCAGTGGTAGGCCCTAACCCTTCCCCCTTGAGAATCTGGTTGGATCTTTATATTTGCATATTTAGCTGGATTTTGTGAACAATTTTGGGGTCAAATCCCCTCATGAGAAAATTCGCTACCTCCCGCTCTTCAAAAAGTTTTAGGGGCAGGTACACTTCGGCTATTCAAAAAGTTTTTGGAGCAGGTATTCAGAAGAAGTCTGTTGCTGAGAAAAATTTCTGCAGGCGTCCATGCAGATTACCTTCGACGCATACCACATGGTGAATCATAAAGCTTTTAACGGCTCATTCTTCAAGGAGGGAAGAAGCGAGATAGCATTCCGGGGCATACAAACTGTTGTAATTAACAAATCTACATGAGATGAATCTCAACAGACCCATGTGTTTGAATCTGAACGGCGCATTAAAAAGAAACAGACGTAGAAGAAAAAGAAGATCCTCCTAGTGGTATACGTTGCCTCCTTGTGTAGTCAAGGACGATCTTGAGTTGCCTCTGATTTCTTTGGATTACCTCGGATCTTTTTAAATTGATTTGGAACCTCGAGCGTTTTCTTCTTGGATAGCGTCAGATCCTGTTCAACTAGTCGAATCAAGTCTCACGACGATATTTGCTACTTGGTAAACAGAACGTATCAGATGCTATCATTTATATTTCCGATGATGCTTGAATTGTGTAATGCTTATTTTGAAGACAGCTTGAGCTTGCTGATAAGGAAAAAAGCATTACGATCTTATAATCATTTCAAATTCGAGATTGTATCCATGTTTCATGAAATATTTATCAAGACAAAGCCATATCACTCATTATTGTGTTTGGTGACAGCTGATTCCCTCCAACTTGAAAAGCTCCATTCGGATTTTGGTAGTTTCGGCAGTGGGTTGCGATAATGGTAAAGCATTGCAGTTTTTGAGAACGAATCTAGTACTGACTTAGTAGTCAACAAAAAGTAGATTGTAAGCCAGCACGGGTATTAGGTAAAAAACCTCTTAAAACGTAAAAAAAAGCTATAAAATGTCATCTAGTAGACTAGGTAGTTTTTAGGGTGCAAACAGTCATACAACGTTTGCTCACTAGGATCGTTGTGAGCGTCCATCTATGGAGAAATCACTCACGCATTGTTGGTTGCATATGTTTTGTGAAGCCGTGAAATCTGTAGTTTTGATATCTGAGAAAAAAGTTGGTTGAATAGCAAGATCGCAACTGTATGATTACGTATATTAATCTGGATGTGTATAAAATGAGTGATATTTGCTGCGTGAGAAAATCTTCCAATGAACTAAATCTATTAGCTGTGCCGGACGGGACATTTATGTGTGGTCCTTTCTGCAGACAGGTTAAATTCAAAGATATAAATTACGGTTTTTTACGTTTTCTTGTGTTTTCAAAAACTTTGAGAATTACGGTAAATCATCACCACGCGTTGTGTGTAATTACTGTTAGCATATATATGACTTCTAATTCGACAGTATACAGTATACAGGGTGTAAACGTTATGGTAATCATTATTGAAATGGGTAATAGGGGGGGGGGGGGTCAAACCAAGTCAAAAAGTTCATATGACCCATGGTCCAAAAGTCAATAGGTTTTTGTCTAAATGGCTTTATAGTTTACAACTTTAAGTGCTTTATATCTACCACAATCACCACAATCTTACTAATTTTTACAATCTAATCTAAAACGTTTATAAATTGGGTAATTAACAAATAAATGGCATTACGTTTTCTAAATTAAGCCAAAATTTGTAGTCAGTAAGTAAGTAATTTTCATTGAATTGAATGTTTAAAACACACATGACGACAGCGCGTCGGTCGTCATCACTCTTATCGAACCAGCAATCGATCGCAAACGGTAACAGTGGTTAGTGTGTTGTTTTGTTTTTGTTTGCGTACGTCGTCGTTTTGATTTACAGAATTCAAACCTTGCAGCTCAAATCGATCGCCACAGATTTCGCCAACGGGTAAACCCAGACAAAAGGACATTTGTGCAAGTGTACCAAAGACTTCGAGATACCTGAAGTGTTCAGCCCACTAATATCCGCACTCGTGAAAGACAGATTACTGTAGAGCAGGATGAAAAAATTTTAAATATCGTGGAAATCAATGCAGATATCAGCACTCGGGAATTAAGCCGCCGCATAGGACTATCGCATACCATAGTCCATAGAATCCTACGGGAAAATTTGCTTTATCCCTACCATGTACAACGAGTGCAGGCATTGTTACCAGAAGACTATCCTCGACGACTAACATTCTGTCAATGGTTTTTGCACAAAAACATTGAAAATCCAGATCTTTTTAAAAACATTCTAGCGATGGACGAATGTACTTTTACGCGAGACGAGATATTAAATTTCGATAATACTCACATGTGGGCCCAAGAAAATCCTCATACCATTCGTGAAGATCGTAATGAAGCTTGTGTGGAAAGTGGAGGACGACATTTTGAACACCTTCTTTGAATACAGAAAAAATGCAGTGTGGGTTTTAAAAAGAAAAACAATGTATGTATCAAAATTGTGTTTCCTATTTATAAGTGGATTTTTTAGTACGTTCAATAAACTTTCACGCACCAGGTGAAGCGCTGAGGCAGTTAGTGGTAAGTTCGTTTTTTTAATTGTTTGTATTTTACGAGTACATTATCAAATAATGGAATAATACCTAAGAGCCAAAAATAACAAACTCAATTTTTATTTACAGTGCGTTCCGTTGTAATTTGCGTCTGGCATTGCGGCGTTATCAGATTTTATTTTACTTTAAAGTCGCTTTTCTCTAAAAAAATGCCGTTTTGACCTTGATGTTATATGAGACTTTCTGCTTCTTTTAACACCCTCTATCACTCATTTAAATAATGACTATCATAACGTTTACGCCCTGTATATAATTATTTCTTATCTCTCTCATTTTTTAAATTCAGCAAATTTGTTTATGAAATTTCCAGAATGTATAAGAGAAAGTGGATGCGCAACTAATTTCTAGCTTTGAATCTCAAGTAAGTGTATTCGAGACAAGAATCCAATGGAATTATCGTCAACACATATTATTAGCACACAAAAATCTTCACTATGCACCTATGAACTGCTATTTCCTTCTAGCTATAGCATACAGCTTAGACCTCCAGTAAAGCCATCTCTGAAGCAGATTTACATCACATCAGAGTCAAACAATGATAACTGAAGCCTCATGACGTTTAGGCAACACGTACAAGTACAAAAAGAGTTCACAACGTGTCCATCAGCTAGTGCTAAGTTAACAACTTGTAGAAAAACCTACATAGTGTCACAAAAAACCAATACAATGTTAAATAAAAATCGACATAATGTCAGTTTTCAAGACACGTAATACCCGTGCCGATTGACAGGACTACGAGTTAAAAAAAAATTTCAAGCATGTTGGCTCTGTTCTTCCGTGCAGTGCTAAGAATTTAAATTTTGGTTACATTTCAGAATAATTGGTTTTCAAGAATATTGAAAAGGTTAGGGTCATGTTAATTTCAAGATATTTTACTATTACCAGATCTCTGAATCTACCACAGCGAGGTCTCTCATTTCGCGGCGATAGTCGGGTAATTAACATGGCCGCTTGATACCTTTACAGTTCTAACAAATAGCTACTGATCACTCTTACAGTAGTTAATTCTGGTAACTGGCAATAGACGTGCTATCGTATTTGGATAGACCTTATGCCTCCGATACAGAATCACTTGCGCTGTTTTTGTTCTCGGTTCTACCTACACCTAGAGATCTAGACTGTGCTGATTATTGCCAATAAGTGTGAAACATGTTCACGGTTGGCTAATAAGTTTTACAATGATTTTGAGATGTTTACGGATTGCTCTAAGATGAAACCCCTAACATTATAACTGTTATCGATTTCTTCAAGTGCGGCAACGTATTTATGATATGGTGTATAGATGTTCACATCCGGTATGTGTTTTGCTTATTCACAATGGAAAGGCAGGCCGAGGGACCCTTTCGGGGTGTCGACAGTCGACAGGGGAGGACAGCTAAGTATTCACTCGGCAACCACCATCCAGGATGTTCGTATAGTGGACCCGTCGGAGCTTTCTAATTAATGAAACTCGTGATAATTTTATTCATAAACGCATTTTAACCGTTTTTAACATTAAAAAGTGGGATTGAACTCACCCTTCCTGCCAGCTTACGCGATTCGTGCAATTCCGATGGTGCCGAAAAGTTCCATGAAGAAATTAAACTGGCATTTTCGGAGTTCCCTAGTGGTCTCAGTTGTTTAGAAAGTATTATGTGCACTTCCCCTTCCGTGAACGTGAAACGACTCGAACCGGAAAACGTGTGGAGGAACGTTTGATCGAAACAATGTCCGACGTAACTTGTGGCTGGACATAAGCAAAAATGTTTTACGAGATGTGCTAGGTAAGCTTCTGATCGGACATGTTTTGAAAAAAAAAATATAAAGAATGTTTCTGCACAAGTTTGCCTATTACAATTTTTTAACTTTGAAATCATAGATAAAATTTCAACCCCCACCGGCCATCCCCCAAGACGCAATTATTCCCCCCGTCGTAAATTCGGCAACCCCGCACTTACCCCTCCCCCACCGTTCACCCCCCTTATCCGACCCTTAGGCGGCAGTCGGTCCGCGAAAGAGGGACACGCCGCGTCGTGTTGGCCGCGCCACAACAAACAAATTAATCTTGATGTAACCACCGAGAACAGAACGCTTCTATCACCATGTCTGGTATCAGTCCGGCGAGCTGTTGGGCCACCCACAAACGGCTCGAGTCCTGGGCCAGGGCGGCCAAGCAAAGGGCGCTGGGCCATCATTCATCCAAGGACTCGTCCAGGGCTGACAGTACGGCTAGTACTGGGAGCATCAACAGTATTGAGGTATCGAAATGCTTCAGAAACTAGCGTCTTGGTGTTATTTTCTAAGTATAACTAGATGAGGTGATTTAAGTAAGAGTTCGATATCGTAACATAGAGGAAATATACATATACATTAAAAATGTAAAAAATGACGCCCTGCTGAAAGATTGATGTGCATAAGAGCTCGAGCCTTCAGACATGTGTAGATTTTCATTGTAAAAGAAAGACTGGTTTGATAAGCGTGATATCCGATAATCCAATACCACGTCATTTTGCGTTTGTTAACTTCAACAGGTATTTTTGTAATTGTGGTTTATTTAAAAACATTAAAAACAGGCTGATCCGTAACAGCTTTATGTTTCATCCTTGATCACAGTAGCTATTCACTGAGTTCAAGAAACATTTCGTATTGAACCAGTGCTCAATCTTGGAACAAGCTAATATATTTCCTTGTATCACATCACAAAATAAAAGTCGGAATACGTTCATCTTTTGACAGCAACGACGCCACGGACAAATACATGGACTATAAAGCTATCGGAATCACTTTTATACTCTCATCTCCCTCACACAAACATATGCGATCTGCCTCTGTGCGTAAAAACTTGCGTGTGCAAGCTCAGACATACGTTTTTTAGTTTTGTCTCTCCACCTCGAAAATTTTTTCACCAACGTATGAGTATTCCTAATGCCAGCCGCCCAAAACTATGGTTCTTTTCTCGGTGTGACGTTGTGACGTCATCAATGCCATGTGAAATAAGTAAGCAAATCGACTGCTTTCAGGAGCTGCTATGTTTTGTATTATATATTAAGATCAATAAAAGGTAAACTCAAAACGGTACGCCTATGGCAAGTGGGCTGTCACACTGACAGCGACAAGGACACCCATACGTTGACGAGAAAATGTTTCCGGTGGTGAGACAAAACTAAAAAACGTATATCTGTGCTTACACACGCACAGAGGCTGTATATGTATGTGTGAAGGAGATGTTTAAAAGTGATGCCGGTACTTTAAGTTTGAGATGCAAATAACGTGAAATGAACGATACATACCTAGATGCACATATCAAATTGATAACAACTCTCTCTTCTGTTCAGGGATTAAAAAGAATATATGCAGGGTGTCTGCGAAAGGTTGGAAAATCTCGGAACTGGAGATACTACAGACCAAAATATGAGAATTGACCTAACATATCTCAGTCCAAAAGTTGATAGTTTGAGAGATACAGGGTGTAAAGTTACAATCTTATTTTCTATTTTGTCTTATTGCTTGAGATTTTGACATAAAACTCGGCGTAGGGAGGTTTTGGAGTATGAAAGACAAAAATTCGTTATTTTTTATGGCCAAACTTCCACAGGGCGCCACATACAGCACTATTTCGGTAAATAACTTGTCATCACTTTTTTGTGCTACCCTGAATACAACAACTGACCAAAAAATCTTATTTTCTCGTATTTCCACAACAAAAAAGGTTTAGGTACTCTCCCTATACCGAGTTTTATGCCAAAATCTGAAATACTTCTTAAGCAATAAGGTAAAATAGAAAATAAAATTGTAACTTTGAAACCCTGTACCTTGCAAACTATCAACTTTTGGACTGAGGTATGTTTCGGTAAATTCACACATTTTGGTCTGGTATCTCCAATTTCGAGATTTCCCAACCTTTCGCAGACACCCTGTATATACAGGGTGACTTCGAAGTTGAGTCATTTATTTTAACAGTGATCAGATCTAATCAAAAGAAATGTTTTTTTCCTTTACCATTTTTCTGGTAAAATTAAAGTAACAAAGTTATAGCCCTTTGGAAGTTTGAGTACCGCCCTGTCTCAATAATAATATCATGTACTCGTGTTTGGCGACAACGGATATAATCCGCCGTATCGGTTCATCGCATCGGAAACAAAAAAGCGAAAGAATTTGGAACGATGTCTTTACAATTACATATTTCATTCATTTGTATACAGTCAGTGTCAGTGAAAAGTGGTATCTGTTGCGTGGCTCAAACGAAATAAAAAATGGCACATGTTTATGCGGATCGGTTTCCCAATCGAGTGCAACCAACCCCTCGTGCCTTTGTTAATGTAGTACAACGGGCTCGTGAATCAGGTGACTTAACACCTCACAGGGGACCTCACGATCAAATACAGGTCCGCACTGAAATACTTGTCGGGAGGATACTTTATAAAACAAGGTAAAAATTGTTTTTTAATTTTTTTTTATTTTTACACACATATTTTGGTTTATCTTCCTTCTACAATCATTATCTGAAAATTAATGACTCAACTTCAAAGTCACCCTGTATATATATAGATATATATATGCGTTACTGGCGCATCGAAAACGAAACAGACGCATTTACTGGCAGCTCAGTTTTTTTTTTAAAATCGCTCAGACCCGTCGATTTTGTTTTCGAGGGGGACACAAGTTTGGCGAAAAATCACGTTAGCACGTGCAGCCCCCTAAGCGGGGGTGACACCACCCCCAAAATCTTAAATGGAAAGGGGGGTCGAGTGATACCTTATTTTAAAGGTCTTTCAATTCCCTTGATAATGATATAAAATTAATGTACTTCAGTTCAGTAGTTTTGAAGATTTATTGATTTAAAGCTTAAATAAAACTAATACATCATCATTAGTGGAGATCAATACATTTGGCAGCAAAGTAATTTAAAAATGAAGAATGAACTGACCCGTTAGGCAAGTAAATGTTGAAAATGGCATGGTCTCTCCATGCAATAATAAAGATTTTGCTCAAAACGTTGCCGCACCTTTTGCAATATTTGAGTAATTTGAAGGCACTCATTCACAATTCTTTGTCCCAGGTCTTCTAATGATGTTGGCTGAGTAGCATAGATTTTGCTTTTTAAATGACCCCACATAAAGAAATCCAAAGGTGATAAATCTGGCGATCTTGGGGGCCATTCAATGGCACCTCTTCTACCAATCCATCGATCTGGAAACGTCTGATCTAAATATTGTCGAACACGTAATGCGTAATGTGGTGGGGCACCATCCTGTTGGAACATCAACCTGTTCGCAGTGTACCGCCGATCATTCTGATTTTCAATTATGGCTGTTAATGCAGGATCTATGGCGTCTTCCAGTAATTGCAAATACATTTCACCGGTCAAATTTCCAGGTAAGAAAAAAGGACCAACTAAATGATCGCCAAAAATACCAGCCCAAACATTTAATTTTTGTGGGTGCTGTGTATGAACCTCATGATAAATTCTGCGATTAGAATCGGACCAATATCGGCAGTTATGACGATTTACTAAGCCATTTAAGAAAAAGAAACATTCGTCTGAAAAGCAAGTGTTGAATAGAAAATTTTCATCGCTTATAATTCGTTCACTCATATCTTCACAAAATTGTAATCGCCGATCAAACTCGTCTTCATTAAGTTCTTGTACCAGGTGAATTTCATACGGATGAAACCTATAGGCCTTTAGAATCCGTTGGACAGTACGTCGACCAACAACACACACAGTCTCCAATTTGCGGGTACTTAACGTAGGATCTACATAAACTTGCCCCAAAACCCCCACTTCTATTGCTTCGTTCCTTATGGGATTTTCAATGTTGCGTTTTTTATTGGCGACTGACCCAGTTTCCCGAAATTTCGCTACAAGTTCTAGAACATATTTTCGATGCACGTTTCTCATGTCGCTGATTAAATATTTCTGCTGTTCTATTAGTGCACTGATTATTTCCGAAACGTATTTCGATAAGTTCAACTCTTTCTGCTGCGGAATATACCATGGTTAATTTATGTAATAAAGCGTTACAAGTTATTTTTTGCCACAAAAAACGCTCCAATAGCTATTTTCAACAACAAAATGATAAACAAACCATGGGCGTAGTAAAGAAAAGCATTTACTTATTAAGTAAATTCTTTTAGTCAAATTTCTTCTGAAAGTAGTACAAACTAATCTGATGTACCTATTAAAGTCTACTTTAAGCTTTAAATCAATAAATCTTCAAAACTACTGAACTGAAGCTCATGTATTTTACATTATTATAAAGAGAATTGAAAGACCTTTAAAATAAGGTATCACTCGACCCCCCCTTTCCATTTAAGATTTTAGGGTTGGTGTCACCCCCGCCCAGGGGGCTGCACGTGTTAACGTGATTTTTTTCCAAACTTGTGCGTCCTCAAACAAAATCGCCACCCTGTATATATATATACAGGGTGGCGCATCGAAAACGAAACAGACGCATTTACTGGCAGCTCAGTATTTTTTTTGGAAAAACGCTCAGACCCGTCGATTTTGTTTTCGAGGGGGACACATGTATCTCTTTCACGAATGTCCAATTATCAAAACTACACCGTCCTATTTATTGCAGAAAAGCATCAAATAACGTTGTATACGGTTGGTTATGGTCACGGATTCTACTCAATTTTTGCAACTGTCGCGGAAAACGTCAAAGCTGGGAGCATGGTATACACTTAGTTATCTCCTGAATGACGAGATGCTTATCTGGTGGGCAACCTTTGTCCATCTCATCGCAGCGAACTGTGACTCAGAAACGGCGGGAATCTGTAGGTTTTGCTCTTGTTTATCGCGTAAATTTATTTAAAAAATATGTATAGCTTTTGCTGTTTTCTAAATCCAAGCCTTATATTGTATTCTTCAACTTCAAACTCTACGCTACGTGATAATATGTGATCAATTTCTTAGATTCCATATTATAGCATATAGCGAAAAATTTGCACGACACGTATACGTGGCACGATGGAGCTATCGATTGTCCATTATTTTTTGATAAGAGAATATAAAGTATATTGGATGATAAAGTATTCATTGCTCAAATATACAATAATAAAATTAATAATCCTTTTTTGAAGAAAAATATGTTTATGATTCACTTTTCTTTTGTTTTTTTTTTTTTTGATACCAACAAGATATTAAATTACATAGTACATAATTGCGTATGAAACTACTTACTTTTATCCATTACTTCATTAATTTTGATGAAACTGCTGAAAAGTACTGCTCGGATTTCGATAAAATTTTTAC